TTTTTCCTTTTTTTTTTTTTTCATGATTTGTGCAATGCACCTTTTTAAACACTCATTTTCAAAAATCGACCCCAACTTAAGATTTCAACCTAATTTTCATCTTATTAGCTTTAGACAATCCACACAAAATTTAGTACACATGGAATCCACATATATATCAATGTCTCCCTACAACAGTTCAATCACCCCAAACTATCCTAGAATTGGTTTAAGGATTTATAATTTAGTGGTTATTTAGATTTAGCATCTAAGGACCACTAAATTTTTTTTTTTTTTTTACCTATTCAAATTTTGAATCAAACTATTTTTTCATGATGCAAAACATAAATCTTGTGTGCAAAAATATCAAATTTCTCATGAATAAGCATAAATTAATCTTAACACATAACTTTCTCACAATTTATAATCTAATGCATGATTCCAATTGTATGCATGTAGGCAACATCATCTACACCACACAAACACACAAAAATAATAAATAAACTGAAAATAGATAATTATTTTTTTGCACTCGAACAAGCACACAAACCAAGAAAAACTTAATGTTCCCCCCCCCCTCCACCCCCCACACCAAAACTTATAATAGACATTGGCCTCAATGTCTAAAAATATAACATGGAATATATAAAAAAAATAAGGGCAAAGAAAGAAACTAGGTACTCTCCTTATATATATATTTAAAGGTGTTGGATGGACTGGCATGAAAGTTATGGCTCACTTGCTATGTCTTTTCTCTTCTCCAATGTGTTCATGTGACATGTTCCTTCAAAATGGTAAAAATCAATCAAAACACGGACAATTTATAATAAACTCTAACATATCCTAAAGGAAAATATATGGATGAAGATACCTTATACTAATTAAAAGCAATAATATTTATGAGTCTATATTCTAGAAAACAAAGTTAAATAAAAGAGAAGAAAATTGGGTTGACTCCCAATAAGCGCTTGTTTAAAGTCATTACCTTGACTTTGTAGTTTTGGCTATTTATGGTGGCTTGAAAAAAAAAATTCCAGTCTTGCATCGACTGCACTAACAGTTATTTTTTAAGTCATCTTTGAGCCTCCAGATTATAAAATTTTCATTGTTGTCCCTCCCAACAATTCCACCTTCGTCTTTCCTGTTCTTGTTAATACCCCAATGATTGATCTTTCGACATTCTTCAATGTCTGGAGGTTGCTTGAATTGAGCATTCATGGTGAAATTTTGTTGTTTTTCTTCCACCCTTAAGACTATTTCACCTTTTTCAGACTCCATTAATGGTGTGCAGTAGATAAGAATGGTCTTCCCAAGATTAACGGCATATGTTGAGCATCTATATCAAATATAATGAAATCAGCTGGAAAGAAGTTATCTCCAACTTTGATGAGCATATCCTCTATCACTCCATAAGAATGCTTAGTGTCATATCAGCCAGCTGTAGGATTATTGATGTTGCTTTTGGATCATCCAATCCTAATTTCCTGTAGATAGACAATGGCATCAGATTAATACTTGCTCCAGAATCAATTAAAGCATTTAAATTATTTGAATTTCCTATAGAGCAAGGTACTGTGAAATTCTCTGGATCTTTTAGTTTAGGAGTGAGCATTTGCTTTATGATTGCGCTACACTCTTCTATCATAGCCACCGTTTCATCTACTGGCAGCTTTCTCTTCTTAGTCAACATCTCTTTTAGAAACTTTGTGTAATTTGGAATCTGTTGAATGGCGTCAATGAAGAGAATGTTGATGTAAAGTTGTCCGAGGGCATCCAAGGACTTCTTGAATTGTTTGTTCAGTTTATTGTTCTGCAACCTTTGAGGGAATGGGACTGGAGGTGTATGTTTATCGATAGGAACAGTTGCCTTACTAGTTGACTGTCCGACTTTTCTTCTTGTGTAACCTATGTTGATTCTTTAGACTAAACAACTTGTTCATCGCCCATGGTAAGTACTTGATTCTCCTCTACTCCTATCTTTTTCACCGTAATTTCTAGCAAATGAACTCCACTTCTTGTTGTAATAACATGGACTTGTTCCTCTTTTGGCTTACGTTGAAGTCTTTGAGAGAATGGAATAGGTGGCACATATGCTCGAATAGGGGTAGTATGCTTAATTTCTGGCATCTCAATAATTGCATAATTTACAACTTTAATTGCTAATACATGTTCTCTTGGATTTGTCTCTGTGTTGCTTGGTAAGGTCCCTTGAGTTCTCCCCGCTAATGCAGCTGCCATCTGACCCATTTGAGTTTCCAAGTTTTTAATTACAGCCTGCTGGTTCTGAATAATTGTCTGTTGGGTTTGGAAATTAGTCTCACTCTTAGTAATGAACTGAGTTAATAATTCTTCCATCAATGACTTTCTATTTTGCTACTGCTGTTGTTGGAATCCCGGTGGTCTTCCTGAATCTGACATTCTTGACCCTGATTATTAACACATGAGAAGTTAGGATTCTTGCTCCAATCTAGATTATATGTGTTGGAGTAAGGATTGTTCTACTGCCTCTGAAAGTTTTGGGCATAATTGACTTCCTTTGACTGATAAACATGGGTTGAGGCTAAAGGACAACTTGCAGTTATATGATTTGCCCCACAGCCTCCGCAAACTGGTGCTGGTTGGTGCACCATACTCACATTCTGAGTTAGTTTGTCCAATTTCCTTGTTAATACTTCCAACTGGGCTGCCAATGATGTAACTGCATCAATGTTGTGAATATCTGCTATTTTCCTCGAAATTTCCCTTTCTCTTAGCCACATAGTCTGATTTTCTGCGTTGTCTAAGGGAATATCCATGATCGATCCTCCTGCTAAAGAGTTGACCATGTTATGGTATTCAAGATGCAGGCTTGAATAGAAGACGTAGACCTTAGCATTTTTAGGAATGTCTAGATTGGGGCATCTTCTGAAGTAATCCTTGAATCTTCCACATGCTTCTGGATAGCTCTCAATGTCCTTTTGCTTGAATGTAGTGGCTTCATTTCTGATCTGATGGACTCGAGAAGGTGGGAAGAATTTCAAGGTGAATTTTTGTACAAAGTCATTCCATGAAACAATACTCTAGGAAAGTAGTGAGAGGGAAGAATTTCAAGGTGAATTTCTGTACCATGTCATTCCACGAAATAATACTCTCTGAAAATAGTGAGTTTAGCTATTCTCGTGCGTTTTTCTTTAAAGTATGATGGAATAGACGCATTTAAAAAGCATCAGCTGACATGCCTTCATGACTGATCACCTCGCAAAGCATCAGGAAAGCTTGTATGTGTTCATGAGGATTTTCAGTTGATTTTCCTGAGAACTTGATGTCCTAATGATTCTGAAACAAATTGATGACATCTGGTCGAATGTGGAAGTTGGGCTGCCCAAAAGGTGGATAAATAATAGCCGGTTGCATAGGAGCAGGTATGGGATTTAAATAATCCCTAAGAACTGGATCGGTTTGTTCTGGTGGTAATTGAACTTAATTTTGATTTTCTGCCATGTCTTTTACTTCTCTCTGTTCTTTTCACTACAACAAATATTACTTTTTACGGCATGCATTTACGGCGTGCATATAAGGCATTCCGTAAAAAATGACTATTTACGGCATGCCAGCATTTACGGCGTGCATATAAGGCATGCCGTAAAAAATAAATATTTATGGCATGCCTTAAATGCACGTCGTAATAAATCAGTTACTAAAAGTATTTACGGCACACATTGATGGCATGCCGTAAAAAGTTAAATTTTACGGCACACATTGACTGCACGCCGTAAACCCAATGACAATTTTTTTTATTTATTATGAAATACTAAAGTCTAGCTTAAGCTTAAAATTGAAGCCCAAAACCTATTTGATCCAACCCAATACCAGCAGCCGATTACAACCAATTCGTTCTCCCAAATTGACAAATTTCTTCCCAATTCATTCCTTCAATCAATTGACAGAGTTTCTTCTCTTCCTAATTCGTTCCAAATTCCGCCTCCAACCTCCACCGGTTTCTCCTCTGTTTCTCCCAACCCATACCCATTAATTCATTACCCAATCCTTCAACATGAACCCGTTGCTGCTCAGCTCGCCTCAGTCCCTATTCGAGCCCTGACGGCTAGTCCACGAGAGTACATATAAAAGCGTGACCACTGGGCACCGACGATTCTTCGGCAATCGGACTAGTGGTGCTATCCTCACCGTGCAAGAAAGTAGAGGCTTACCAGAGGAAATCATTGTGGAAATAAAAGGAAATTCTTCAGAAGTCCTAGCAGCTCAGCAACTAATTCAGGTAAACATCTCCTTCTGTTGTTCTTCACTAATATTTGCCGAATGAGAATACGCATTATTCTGCTTTAATTTATGTCAATCATGATGATCACTGCAAAGCTCAAAAAATCACATTGTTGCAACTTGTCGCGCCCAAAAAATTGAAATGGGGCATGTTTTTATGTGCTTGTATTCGGTTTAATGGAGATTCAAATGCTTTCTAACGATGTGGACTGATTATACTTGTGGCACCCAAAACATTGAACTGAGGCATGTTTTAGGCTGAATTTCATTTTTAGGGCTATGCACACTGGGAAGGAAAATTCTGCAAATTGATTTAGAGTCCTGCACATTATCCGGCTTCTGACTTGAAACCTTGGCTATGATGTAAATAGAACATGTTAAGGAATAGACTAATACCAGCTAGTTACAGCTAATACCTTCTGCTTGGTTTTGTGACATAATTCCTTTTGTGTAATCCTGTACTCTTGTGAAAGCCAACAAGTTCTTCGTTCATTGGGGGCTTGACCTTTATTATAGTCATGACTTGCTGGCTAGAGGGGTAGGTGGAATCAACATGGAGAATCAGAAGGCAAAAGAATGGGCAAGCCAACTTCAATGTTGGTGTATACATCTTCTGAACTGTTTTGCCACAAAAGAGAGATCTTTAGACATTATATGCAAGCAACAATTTCTCGAGGATTTATGTGAAATGTGGGGTGGTTTGGTTAATCATTCATCACCTGCAGGAGTTTGATTAATTAGGATTCTATGTTATACTAAAGTTGGAAGAAAATGTATTGCAGAATCAAGACATGTAATTGTGAATCTGTATGATCTCTCTAGATCTTCAGATGATTGGCAGTACATGGGAATTGATTGTCTTCTATTACTTCTCAAAGATCCAGGAACCATGTACAAAATCATTGAAATCTCCACCTCGTACCTTATTGATTTGGTTGAACTTAGGACGCTTGCAATTAGACCGAAATTTGGTGAAACAATCACAAGAGTGCTTCTCAATGATTTGAAACGTAAGAGTAAAATCATGAATGCTGATGTTCGAAGGAAATTAGAAGAAATATAGAGTTTGAATGTAGAAAGAAGTAATAGAGAGAAAGCTACTTCTGATGAGAAACTTGAGGAAAAAAGGGTTCTAGTAAATCTACTAAAGCAAGAGGGAAATCGTAGATTTTTGGTGGGAGAGATTGATGAAGCAGTGTTGCAATTTACAGAAGCTATAGAGTTGTGCCCTTTAAGGTACACTAATGAAAGAATTGTGCTCTACAGCAATAGAGCACGGTGTAATTTGCTGCTGAGAGATCCTGATGCTGCAATCAGTGATGCAACAAGAGCCCTTTGCCTTTCGAGCCCCCCAAATTCTCATTCCAAAAGCCTATGGAGAAGATCACAGGCATATATAGGGCCTCATTTAACTATTTGCTTCAACTTACATCTGGATGACTGTAATAACTTGATATGCTTGTTGGTTGGTTGATTAATGTGTACTATTACTAAATTGTGTTTGAGTGTTGGCCACATCTGCTTAAAAATTCATAATTTATGGAAGAAGGTTTTACATCTCTATTTCTGTGATCTAGATATCATGAAGTAATTGCAGCACCAGTGTCTTAATAAAGTTCTCTATTAATTTCTTAACATATTGCAGTAGTGTTGAAGGATTTACAAACTGCTCCAATTTCGCCTATTTTAATTCAGGTTTGAATCAATTTTTTTGTAATTTCACTTTGTGTGAAACTTTATTGTCAAAATGATTTACCTAATTGAATTTGATTTTTATGATTCCTAATAGAATCGTTTTTACTTCATTCTTATTGTGTTACAACATATTATAACTTAATAGTGTTGTTATATTATCATGGATAAAGATTGGGTACACTTATCAAGGTTATCTTGTCCTCTTAAATTTAGAACATTTTTAAATATGTTAATAAATGATTTTTAGATGATTTATTTAGCATTATTTTTATAGAGTTTCGGAGGCATATCAACAGGGTGTAAGAAAATTTGCAGATATGGTGCAAGCCAATGCTGGGAATCCAAAAAAGGTCATATGTCCTTGCAAATGTTGCAAAAATCTATTTCACCAACATTTTGATATAATGTATGGGCATTTGATCATTAATGGCATGGATCCTACGTATACTACCTGGGTGTTTCATGGGAAAAAATCGAATGCAGCATCATTGCCTCCTCAAGATGCAGAAAATTTAAAGACGTATAGGATGTATAGAGATGTATCCTGGTTGTACAAAGTATACAGGGATATCTGCAATCGTTGTCTTATATAAGCTTAAAACTACACGTGGTATATCTAACAATGGTTTCACTAAACTTCTTGATATTATCCGAGATATGCTACCACATGGAAATACCCTTCATGATTCTTGCAATTCAATAAAAAGGTTATTGAACACCTTTGATTTAGGGTATGAAAAGATACATGCATGCGTAAATGATTGTTGTTTGTTTAGAAAGGATCTAGAGAATTTGGAGACATTTCCAAAATGTGCATCTTCGCGGTGGAAAGTTAATGAACGGACTAAGAAGATTCAAAAAGGGATACCTGCAAAGGTTTTACGATATTTTGAGGGATAGCTAAATTGTCGGTCAAAGAAGTTAACTTTGATATGGTTTAATCATTTTTTTTTAAAGTAGTAGTCTTTTGAAAAATGTTGAGATGAATTTTACATTGACATATAGTATTGAACAGTATTCAATATTTCTATTTATCGAAACAATGGAGAAATTTATGGATTAATTTTGTTTTGCAATTATTATAGATTTGCTCGTAATCAAATAAATAAATAATTTTTTTAAAAAAATTAAATTGATCTTTACGGCGTGCATACTAAGCACGCCATAAAAAATATATCACTTTTTACGACGTGCAACTAAGCATGCCGTAAAAAGTATATCACTTTTTACGGCGTGCAGTGAATGCACGCCATAAAAAGTAAAGTATATTTTACGGCACGCCGTAAAAAGTGAGATACTTTTTATGGGTGCATTCACTGCACGTCATAAAAAGTGATATACTTTTTACGGCGTGCAACGGAATACCGTAGAAGTAATAACGGCATTTTATATACGGCGTACTTTGCACGCCGTAAAAAGTAACCCACCTTTTACGNTAAACAAAAAAATTAGTTGTGTCAATAATATCCTAAAATAAAATAAAATGAAAATTCGAATACTATAAAACTAATAAATTCAAATTAAATTATTCCCCGACAACGACGCCAAAAAATTGTTCGTGCAAAACCCGCAAGCGTACGGGATCATTGACAAGTAATAGAATTGATGAGTTAAGAGTATCATCCCACAGGGAATAAATTCAATTCAAATTTACTAACTTTTTATGGGATTTGAATTATGTAAACAAAAGAGAGTTTAATTTTATTTTATATTTAATTAATCTAAGAAAGCAATAAAAATGTGGTTTTTTTCAATTTATGAATGATTGTATTGGATCTCGAATACTCATATTGTTATCTGTTTCAATTCTTAATTTGTAATCTAATTTTGTTCATACATTCTTGACAATCGATAAAACTATGATATATAATTTTCTTTTTCAAGACAAATTAAATATATTATAACCACGACCCGAATGTATTCCTAACTCGAATTCGAATGATTAGAATGCACTAAAGTTTAAATTATCTATATGATTGCACATGTGATAAATGTTATTCCTAACATCTATTGCACATGTGTTAATTTGTCGCGTTCTAAACATATTGTGAGTCTCCCAACACTACAACAAGCAATTAATTATCTAATTGATGGCCAATCAATTAAATAATGCAATGGGTATGCAAAATTAATCAAGAAACGCAATAAATAAATTAAATTATTAGTCTTGAATTAAAACAAATAAACAAATAGGGTTCATCTTCATCCAATACAAAAGCGGATCTAGTCTAGCATGTTAATATATAAAAATATCACCTGGATCATGAAATAAATCAAAAGATGTTGATCTTCAATTCCAAAGTTGAATTCTTCAAAATCTTGATGTAATTGATCTTCAATTCCTTGCTATGACTTGATCTCCTCTATCAAAATATGGCAATTGACATCTTGTTCTTGATGAATTTGATAAAACTATGGTATATGAAGAAACAATAGAGAGTTTTTTCTATGTGTAGCTCTCGTTCTCTATTTATAAGAGTAAGAAAATAGGTCAAAATCGCGTCCAATTTGATTTCCAAAAGAGTTTGAATCGCGAAAGGAAACTAAAAATTCATCTGCGAAAAATGTACGTGCTCGTGCACCGGTATAAGTGTTGTGTACGCACCGTAGAACCAAATGGTTCTCGGGTTGGGGAAAATAGGCCCCCGCACGCGCGCCAAGAATTGTCTGCGCGCTCGCAGATTTGTCTCTGAGCAGTTTTGGGTATTTTAGTCATAACTTTCTCTACAAATATCCAATTGAGCTGATTCAAAATGAATTGAAAATATAATTCAAATAGCTAAACTTCTTCTAGAAATACAAGTTTTCCAATTTGAATTTTTGATATCCAAAAAATGGGTCTCAAGTGAAGGCTAAAAATTTATAGCATAACTTCTTCGGTTAGAAATTGATTTGTGAAAATACTTCCACTATATTTCACTCCTTTGACCTCCAATTGCATCCAATTGATCCTATATGATCTTAAGTTATCGTTTTGGGGTCCGAATCATCTATTGGATGTTTACACTTTGGTCCCCAAACTTTGAATTTCCATCGTTTTCGCACGTTTTTCATTCCTTTCTTCCAAACCCACCAATTTGGATTGAGTTTAACCTAACAAATATAATTAACACAAAATTAAGTTATAACTCATCCAAATCACTAACAAATACTCCAATTTAATAGTCTAGATAAGTGTACAAAATACACTTATCAATTATGGTAAACATTTTTTTCTATGTATAAGAAAATGTTGTTATGTATAGATGAAACGTTAGTTTAAGAAACTTGTTTCTAAGGATGTATTAAACATTAAACAATATGTAATATCTAAAACAGTTCTAAAAATTATTATTATTATTATTATTATTATTATTTTAAGCATAGATTTTATTTCAAGGTGAGCATGGGCTACATTAAATATTATTGAGTCGACTCATATAAATTACAAGGGAGAATGAGATAATTTGGACAAAGACAGGAACACAAAAATTATAGGGAATCAAAGAAAACACGCTGCATTCATTTGGTGAAATGCACTCTAAAGAATTGTAAAGGTTGCAAACCATAGCCAAAACACAATCAATTGGGCATAATTCTTTTTTGATGAATTCTAAGTTGAACCAAATAAAGAAAGTGTAAAAAATATATGAAACGTGCGACGAATCGGATTTTTATTTTTTATTTTTTTCCATTTCTTTTACTTTTTTTTTTCTATTGAATTCAATCCCCATAGATGGGGGGAGAGCCTTTGGAAAGAGAAGTGGGAGAAGCAGATTGTTGGAACAATTCAATTAGATTTAACACCAGATGGTGGAGGGATATGTGCTAAAAGGATTGCTGTGATGAAATTGTTCGGCATAAACCATCTTATTGATTGCAATTTTTATAGATCCAAGATAGCAATTTTTATGGGTTGTTAGTAATAGCCCAAAAGTCATATTACTGGCTAGTTTGACCAGTAAATTAATAATTCTAAAAATGATTAAAATAAAATAAAAAATATTATTTTAATCAATCAAGCCCAAGAGCCCAATCAAAAACTTTTTAATAATCGAGTGGGATATAAATCAAAACCTAACCTCCCACACAAATTCCACACTTTCACAAATTGGGCATTTATCTAACTTAATTATTTCATTCAAATAATATACTTGTTTGATCTTCATTTTTTTCCAAAATATATTTTTCTCTCTCTTCTTTTCAGTCACACATTCTTCAATAAAATAACATTACTCTTAAATTCGAGTTTTTCCTTATTTTTTAATCACGCATTATCCATCAATCTACTATTCCAAAATGCATTAGATGCAAAAAAATGGGGCTTAAACATATAAATATCTAACACGGACAAACAACAAGAAGAAAGAATATATCCAACAATTCACACACAAAAAACTCACATTTACACATTTAGTTCTTCTGTAAATATATTAATCTTTTCTAGTTTTTGTTTTTATGGCTTTCAAGATTTGAACTTTTTAGGTTAACAAAAAATTGTGTACCGATTGAGAGAAAAATGGCAAACAGAAGAAAGGGAGTAAAGATCCCCATATATAGATAAGGTGGATAGAGAGATCATGGGTAGAATGGAGTTTGAGAAACGCAAGATTCGACCCTACTATACTTAGAGGGGGGTGATTATGTGTAAATGCGGAATTAAAGCTTAATTAACATGTAACAAGTCACAGGTTAATTATGTCTAGGTGATTAGTAAATAAAGTAATAAACAACACCAGAATTGTTCACGGAGAAACCCAACGTGAGAAAAACTCCGAGCACTTTGCCAGTCAAAGATCC